CTTCTAAACAAATGTATATACCTTGAAACTTTAATTCATGCATGGCAACTATGCATGTAGACCCAGGATTGGTTCTCAAAATCTCAGCTGCAAAAGACCTAAGCATGCCGAACTGATGCTCATCAGACCCTTGTATTAATAACCTAGCATATCTTCTAGCCCTCCAAACTGTAACTTTATTAATTGTCAACTTCAAATCATCCTTTACAGCCTTCATAATAAGTTTAGACTTCCAATCAGGGTCAACTTTGAAAGTGTCTAAATACCTATTTGCTATATACCTTGCAGTGCAATACCTATTTGTTCTGTCCCTTACACATGTATGCTCTAAATTTGCGGACTTTATTTGAACAAAACCATTCTTTTTACTCCAAGATGCCCATATTCTCCACTTGCATCCTAATTTACATATAGCCTGTGCTCTAAACTCATCATTTGGTCTAAACCTCAAATTACATCTAGTAGCAATACCATGATTCCTCACAGCTAGTCTAAACTCCTCAAAGTATTTAAATTCCTTTCCAACCTCAAGATGTGGGTTGAACTTCTCCTTATCGGGATCATACACTGGGAAATGATAAATATTTTCTTCACTAGAAGAATAATCAGTATTTAGTTCCTCCTCACTAGGGCAATCTAACTCATCAGAACCATTCTCTTCTTCCCCTCCAACATCAAGTTCAGATGCATGGTCTGCATGTAATCCACTCTCAACATGCTTCGACGCATTCTTATCAAATTGGAAACCATCATCGTTAACCTCATTATCAGAATCAATCAACTCACATTCAATCGGTATCTCTTCCTCTTCTTGATCTGTATAAAAAAAAAAAAATCTGAATGAAAAATAGTTCACTGCCGAAGTTATATTACAATATTCACGTGTTCCATGTCAATCAATTCACTTAGCTCGACAAACTCAAGACATGTCTCCAACATGTGTAATATAAAATTGTAAATAATTTACCTTGTGGTCCCTCCTCCATGGTATGTAAAAGCGATTCTTCCACTATATTTTTGTTGATTGGGTCCCCCATGTTCCTTACAATCAAGACAAGAATATTTCTATATTTTGTGGCTAAATATTTGGATATCGTTTGGCTGTGTTTGAAGTGAACAGAAAGCGTGCATAGGGCTCGTGATTTGGGGCTTAACAGGGAACTAGGGTTCGCGATTCTTACCAATGATTGGAATTGGGGATGAATAAAATTTGGGGAGGATCGATATTTTCAATTTCGGCAGTGGATAGTGATTTCAAGCTCGGTGGTAGAATGGGATTTTGAATTTGGGTGGAATTGGAGAAGGGGAAGAACACAGAGAAGCTCCATTCCCCTTTTTGGCTATTGTGTGGCAATTTAGTACCCTGTTTGGCTATTTTTAAAATGATGTGTATGATTGTTTGCCATATCATGAGCCACGTAGATCATTTTCTCCAGCTGTGAGACGGAATTAGGATGGATGATTGATGGGTAAACTAATATATAGTTCGGTGAGCACTGGGTAACTCTTTGTACTTTAGTGAGCAAGTAGTAACCTTGGGTAAAGATGAGTAGGCATTGATTTAATTAACTCATATAAATTGGGACATTTGGTAATTAGAAACCGATACTTAGGTAATTGTGCTTCAATCATCAATGCTTAAAAAGCTACTTTCCAAAAAACATGTGTAGACACCCATTCATAAAAAGTAGGTTTAAGGAAAAGGTAGTTTGTATGCTACTTTTAAGCACAGAAACACATGTTGGTAATAAGTAGCATGCCAAAAATACTCGTGCAATGAAATTTCTCCGAGATCAAAACTTTCAACTGAATACTACTATTTGCATGAATAATTCTTGTTGTACACTTTTGTGTATAACAAGTTTGACACTCCCCACACATGGGGGTGGGGCCCATTATTTTTAAAATCGTGGGTCCATGTGTGGGGAGTGTCAAACTAGATGTACACAAAAGTGTACATCTAGCATTAGCCTATTTGTATTCCATGTATTGGTCTTTCTGTAAAACTTAGTTACAAGTATTGACCATTAAACTAGTTTCCATACTGCCCAAACACGATATATCGTGTGAACTGTGATATTTTTATTCGAACACATACTGTAGTCTTCTTGTTTTTAAATTCTCGAGATGCAAGTCTTATGCCTTTTGATTTGTCACAAGTTTAATCCTTGCACCTTGTACGCTAATCAAAAAGGTAAAATGTAGTGAGTCTTACCACTCAGGATGTACGGAATGCTGATCCAACAGAGCTTTTCTTCGGCTGGCTGAGAATTGAAAACACATTGATCCCATAATAGCCTCCATGGACTGAAAATCCATAATCTATGCCTGTTTGAACAACTTCATCTAATCTTGTCTTTGTTAGTAAGAATCAGTAGGAGGGGAAGCACAATCCCCTTAAGAAGTTTTAGAAAGTTGTAGGAGAGAATGAAGAGGTTCACACCATTGGCATTTGTCACGCAGCTTTGCTCATGCCTGGGAAACTTCTGTATTACTGTTACTCAGCAGCATTTGTGGCATGAGGTCTAATATCTGTTTCAAGTATTAGCCCTTACAACTAGAATAATGAATTGCATTATGTGTGTACTGAGTGCATACTGCAGTTTCTTCTGTGTTGACCATATGATATTGATACTCTCTCATGTCAACTTGCGCTTGTCCTTGACCTTGGGCATGGTATAATAAATGAATTGCCAACGGTTATTGCTTACTGTCTTAAACTTCAAGTCAAAAGAAGCATTTGTATCTTCTTTATGCCCTGGACTGGAGATCTGCAAAGTTGAATTTGCGTGTAGTTGGAAGTTTCAATCGATGTTTACTAATTTAACTTGTTCAAATAAATGACTAATTTAAAATTTTCAAATAAATGACGTGTCCAAACTTGATTAGTTCTGGAAGTGATTATCTAGAAAAAGTCGAGTGGTTAAGAAATGTGTTACTGGTGGTTGGGAATAAAACCAATACTTGGCCCGCCAAGGCTTCTCACACACACTTTAACTCAATGACCGTGATTCGATAGTTAGCACCTGGCATGCGATTTTTATAGTAGTACTTCATTAATGTGCCTTAGAGCACGCTTTGCTAAGTTCAAGAGTAATTGAAAGTTACTTTTATGTGAATTTTTGTTTCTTTTCTTTTCATTTAAGTAAAAATAATTACTTATTCTGATAGTAACTCTTACTTTGTTGTCAAGATAAGTGATTCACTCAATAAAAAGAACTATCTTATTTAGGATTGACTTATTTACTTACAAGTAGAATGTAGAAACTGAGTCAATCATGTTGTTGCTGTGGTTCCGCAAGCTTTTTTCTTTCTGGTGATTGCAATTGTTTGGAAGATGTTTTCTATTAGCTCGCTTTTTATGAGTGATTATTGTTACTAAACGGCGTATAACTTGTGCAATCAATGTAGGTTCTCAATCTGATCGTTGAGAACTTGTTCGAAGGGCATCCGATAAGCCAAAGAAAGCTCAAAGAACTCCTCGGCCGCGCTCCGCCCCAGGTTCTTGCTGCAGCTCTGCTCGGAATAGTGGTAGCTTGGATATGTTGTCAGGGTCCTAAGCAAATTAGTCGTACCAGTTAATGATACTTTAATTTCGCTAATCTTACATACAACCGGTGGACCCCACTGCCACCGGATGGCATTACTCTCGAATAGCACAAAAAGTTTAAGATCTTTTTTATGGTAACTTTGAGTTTTGTTGCCTCATTTTGGAGTGCTGACTGAACAACACTGAATAGTTTTAAAGAAAAGAACTATTTACCGTAATATTGGCAATATGTATGCATCGTCATTGTTGATTTTATTAAAGAATATTCATAATTTCTCTTAACAAAAAAATAGCTGATCTCATCTATTCATCTCTATCGTATAATTAAATATTAAAATTTAATGAAATTTTGGGAGTTCATACGAGCCCAGGAATATATATATATATAAAACAAGAAAAAGACAATTGTGCGCGCTGGATCCGCGTAATGTAACTCAACTTCTTATAAGAATCTCTTTGTTTTAAATAATGTAACTTTCAATTTCTTCACCTTAAAATCGTAAGTAGCCTAATTTCTAGAGCCTCTAGAAATGTTTAGTTTTGTCGACCATACCAGAAATCAGACATCGTTTAGTTTAATGAGAGACAAGAATTTACATGATGAACATCGAGTCAAAAGTAATTTCTTGTCCACTACAGCAAGGGCTCATTTGGTCGAGCTTTTGAAAATCCAAAACTAACTTCTAGCATTAATACGCTGCTTTCGAATTTATTTAGATAAAAATTTTAAAGTATTATTATTTTTAAATTAGAAGAGCTTCAGAGAGCTCATCAAGGTGATTCTGATTTCTTCACAAGCTCTTCTATAATAAGTGAAGCAAAAGCTAAAACTACGCCAAATAGACACTAATAGACTCGAGTGCATATTTGGCATGGAAGATTCAAATTAATAGAGCGGGACAGAGAAAAAAAAGAAGCTAAGATGTGATTTCAGTTTAACTATACCAAACATGCATTGAAATATTACATCTTATACAAGTATTGAGACTACTATGGATTATGGCTAAACTAGAGGAGAAAAAGATGATCTGTGCTCATTTTGAAGCTTGAAGGCAGCGAAATGATCACATGGCTCAGCAGGCATTGTGTTCTGTTTCTTTGCAATTCGAAACAGCTCAAAATTTATGCCTGAAACTACTTGCTTTCGAGTCTTTCATCTTTTATGAACAAGTTCAACATATTTAAACACTCGGGGATGCTAGCAACTATGAAAGATGTATTTATCAAACTTCCCCGCTACTCTTTGCTCCATATCTTGAAGATGGAAGAAGGAAGACGAACAGATACATAAGCTCTCTGTTCACCTTTTATGAACACAAGTTCAACATAAACCTTTAAATACTCGGGGGTGGTGGGGGGGGGGGGGGGGGGGTTGCACATTTATCAAACTTCCGGCTAGTCTTGGTTCCATATATTGAAGATGCCATTGAATGTCCAGCAGGGGTCTTTTCTAGTTACTTCTGCTCAAAATACTGCAAGTACACATCATATATATAATTTACAAATGGAGGAAAGAATTGGATAACCACCATAATCATTAACACTGAAAATTATTTATCAAGATTTCAGAAACATAACTCCACATTTAAGCCTATTATTTCAAAGGTTTTCAGTAAGGATTTTCGTTCAGAAAATGTCACTATTATTCCCCAAACAAGAGAGAAAAAATAACAACCTTGATGGTTTAATATGCGACTGGATAAAAGGAAAAAGATTTCAGAATGATATTAACAGAATCCTTGGTAAGCTCGTTGATTTGTTAATCAGAGCATATGATTAACGTAAAACAGGCAACTGCTTGTGCATGAGAAAACCAATACCTCAAAATGACAATCCTCCGAATAAATTTCTCATTCACAGCTTCGTGCGCCTTTTCAGTTTCCGCTTCGATCTCCTCCTGCAAAAGAGTAAATAAAAAATTCAAAGCAAGAAATTAGAATGACTAATAGCCAAGAAAAACTGAAAACATATAACTGGTTTGCTGTCTAACAGATACCAGGACTAGAACCAGATTGAAACCCATAGAAGGTCCATAAGATTCTAAATTACCTCTTGGTTGGCTTGCTTATCCCAAATACGCCCTTCATCAATCCATTTATGTCAACAGAACGGTCCTGCATGATTTTATCATGGTATATCTTACTACCTATTTCTACGATTAGTTCTTCTACTTCTTCCAATGTTTGGTCCACATTGAGCTGCAGCTGTCCTTTTCCGATGACGGTCACACTGAAACCATTTACCTTGGCTTCGCGAAAAGCATCCTGCAGAGAATCAGAAAATGTGAAATACATTAACTGAGTTCACTCCCAAGAAGAAAACTTCTCTCTTTTCTTTTTACCATTTTTCAGGGGGTGGGGGCGTTTTTCAAAAATATAAAGAAAGATAAACATTCACAATCAAGAGTAATCGAAACAAAATCTGTGAGAACACAATAGAAGAAGCATAAAGGTAAGAAATACCTTAGGTGGTCTGGCAACAACAAAGGCATTTCCATTTCCTAGGATTTCCATTTGAGCTTGTATAATGTAACAAAGATTCTTACAATCACCAGCATCCTCAAAAGCAATCACATGATACTGCTTTGGGTTCAATTCAAGATCAGCAGCCATTTCCAGTGAATAAAAACCCACTCTCTGCTCCCCATTTTCTAGTGTGTACATTTCTATGCACTACATAAAGTCAATAAAAGAATTGATTTAGCAATCACTTTATAAAAAATTTTGTCTGTCTGCAATAAAATGAAAAACAAGGGCAAGAAGTGAACTTATATTGTATTATTTGACAGTAACGGAATGATGTTTGCCTTTATTCACATTAGAATGTTCGGATAAACACTACAGGGTAAAAGGATGTACCAGTACGAAGGGTAGATCTAGCCACCACAAATAATCTTCTTCCTTTTCTTCTGCATATTCATGATACTTGCTAACAACAGCTTGAGGTCCAAATAGTTCCATTTCCCTTTTGACCTTGTCGAGTTTTTCCTTAACGAATTTACGACCCTTCTCGGGAATTTTGTCCATTAGGTCAGCTGCTTCCTGTATTTCTTTCTCAGTGATCCATCTATCCAAGTCTTTACCCATATCCCTCATTACACCTTTGACTTCTGGGTCTGTTTCTGCATTGTACGACTCCAAAAATCCTTGGGACCATTTCTTAGTGTGCTGCCAGTACTCCCTCCCAGATCTTTTACTGGCTCTCACGGAACCATCACTGCCTTCTATAATAGTCTTTGAAGATACTGTAGGCTCTTTCCGAAGTTCTGTACTTATATCAGAGACATCTTTTGACCTAGGCATATTGTCATGAGATGAAAGTTCTTCAGATTTCTGAAGGACATTTTGTTCAGTCTTCTTTACGAGAAATGATTTTTTAATGCTTTCAGCAACAAGTTCCTTTCTCTGTTCTATGAAATTGTTAAGGAACTCAGGATTCTTTTCTGCTGGGGGAACTTTCCACCGAGGTATGATTTTCTCCGGCGGATCATACAAGCTAATGCCGTCTACAGTAACAAAAAGAAGTCATATGAGAAAATCTATCTTATCTTACAATAGTGGAAGGCAAAGGTGGATCCAGGATTTGAAACTAGGGGTGACTCCATCATTCAACATAATAGCAAAATTATTGAATTAGTCGGTTTCATTTGGAATACTATTAGTTCAAAGAAGAAAGTAAAAACTTCACCTGCTCCATAATCAAGGTTCTCAATGTTGGAGTGAAAATATTTGTGCAGATTCATTAGCCTCTCATTCTCTTGATCAACTTTCTTCTCAAGGCCATTGAAAAATGCACATTTATCTTCTTCGTCTATAAGATAAAACGGATCTCTTCCTGAAAGCTCATTTTCTCTAACTTTGAATACAATATCTCTGAGCCTATCATCTTTCATCCACTCGAGTTCATTGTCATCTCCAAGGGACTTAAGCTCAAACTCTTGATTTGTATTTTCCCTTGCGACCCGGTAATTCTCTCTAAAGCCAGCTCCAATCTTTTGTACAATGGGCTCAAGTTCATGAAAATTTTTCTCCATCCAGTTTTCCTTATTTCCAGACAATGCTAGCTTTGCACTTCCGCCATTAACTTCATTACTATTGGTAGTTTCAGGCATTTGAAGATCAATCCCTGCTGCAATATTTTCAATACCTTCAGAATTATGCTTCTCATGGGAAGTTGATGCTTTGTCCGACAAGCTTGAATCTTCATGACCTCTATTTTGACTGCTGAGGCTCACTTCATGACCTGAGGATATCCTGCTATTATTTAGATTATGTAGGCCATTCACTTCTCCTTCTGTCACTTCAGAGTCCCCATTGTTTGCTGAAGCATGTTCCTTTCCATCGGAACAGGAATCTTTATGTCTTTCACCTAAAGGAGAAGAGTCGGATAATTCGATATTGTCATCCGAGGCTTCATTTCTACTTGGCATAAATAAATCAGTGTCAAGTTGTTCTTTAATTCTGGCTACAGGTTCTTGATTTATGTCTTCTTTGTCATTCCTTTTAGAGAGGTATTCCCGAGCTTCTTTAACAGATTTTATGACCCACAATTTAGTTCTCACAGAACTTTTATCAGATTGTAAATTCACTTCATTCAAATCTGAGGAGTTAAAACCAAATTTCCCGTTGCTAACCTCAAGTGCTGTATTCTCATTGCCATCTGAATTTGACATGTTACAAATCTGCATCGGAATTTCGTCTATTGAAGCTTCGTCAGTAGGAAGTCCACTATTTTCTTCTAAATCACCAAATGATGTAAGCAAAGTTCCTCCAGAATCTCTAATATCCATTGCCTGTCCATTAGGAAGGTCATTGTGAGAACTCACACCACCATCCTCTCCATCACTATTGTCCTCTGAAGAACCCTTTTGCTCAAGTTCCCGTGCATGCCTCGCCATTGCTCTGATTTCTTCAATTTTGTCATTAAAATTGTTAGGTTTATAATCCGAATACTCCATTCCTGCCAATTCATTATTCAATACATTTGCTTTAATAATGCTGTTCACAACTTCTTCCTTATCAAGCTGAGGCATCCCCAGAGATACATTAAATAACTCTGTGGAATCCTGCATAACTTCTACACTACCCTTCACCATTTTTTCTTTCTCCATTCTAGCTTTCATCTTCCTCCTCAACATTTCCTTTTCCAACCTCGTGTATTCCTCACTATCTTCCCCGAAAGTGAAGACTTCTTTAACTGCCCAAACCACAAATAAACCACACAATACTATGAACCCAACTCTCGACATTCTTGAAAACGTGCCTGGTTTTATTTTAACACTCTGAATCACGTCCAGAAAATCCAATTTTTCACCAGACATTTCAAACTTCACCACCGAACTATTCTTTGGAATCACCTCACTACCCCTCTCCATTTCTCTAGCCAAATCTTTAGCAAAAGAAATTTTGAAATTCACTTCAGCTAAGTCCTCGGTTTCATTATCGTCCCCTGGATTAACTTGACTTCTTCTCAAAATTTCATCTTCATTCACAACTACCCTTTTAATCTTGCCTTCAGTATCCTGAAAAGCAGTAAATATAGGACCAGTCCCAATGCCCCACATTTCAGTATCCTTCTTATACTGCTCAACCCAACTCTCTAACTTATTCCACAAAACTGACTCACCCAAAATCTTTCTTCTTGATTCTGTTGCCGGTTCTATAACGCTTCCATATTCTCTATTAATATCACCAAAACTCTTATCCAGACTGCTCATTTTGTCTAGATTACTGTTTTCTTTACCATAACTATCAAAATTAGATTCAGGAATATCACCTTCATTGAATTTATGAACTGGGTTTTCAAGATCATTCACCTGTTGTTGCCGTTCAGTGAGTTTCTTCCTCAGATAATTTTGGCGGTTTGTGGGTCGGCCAAAATGAGCTGAAACTTGGAATTTCTTCGAGCGGGGTAAACAGAGTATAAACTGAGGGTGTAAAGAAGGTCTTCTGGAGTTGGGTATGGTTACTCTTGATGGGTATTTCTTGTTTTTCCAAGTGGTGAAGGGGAAATTGTGGGACAAAAATGGAATTTTAGAGGAAATTTGACAATTTATGTAGACAGTAGAGTTCAATAACTCCATGGATGTGAAGAACAAGAGACAGCACTTAAAACGATGCCTAAAACCCTGGGGAAGTTTTTAGGCGTCCAGGGGCGGTGAGAATTTATCTGCAGCGTCAATTTTCAAACTAAAATCGAATTATGCCCTATAAATTTTTTATTTTTTCAGTAAATTTCTAAAATAATTTCAAGAATTTTGCTTTTTTGCAAAGTGCATAAATCCATTTACCGGAATGCAGTTTTCATTTTAGGACGACTCATGGCACGGTTGTGTACAAAGTTAAACCTTGGTATATGCACAATCTAGTTCAAATGCAGATCATGTATTGGTCCCAAACATTGTACGCATGACCTTCAATGAGAATTTATTCGTTTTGAAGTCGCTTGAGATGAGAAAAAAAAAAAAAATTAAGTGTGAGAATCGTGGTTCTCCTAATTATTCTGAACTAGTGCTATTTGTGACATTTACATTGTTTTTTATTCTTTACTTATGATGCTTAAGTGTCACTCACTTATTAGTAGCTAAGTAGTTACTTGGATTGTGATGGTTTGAATCATTTGTGACCCTTGAATGAGATGGACAGTTGAGATTGATTCTTGGGGGGATATATTTTCGTTCTCTTGCTTCTTTGAGACGCTAAACTTTTCTGGACTAGACTTTTGATTTTCTCTTTCTCTCGTTTTGTTCTTAAAATCTGTCTTCTTTTTCTCTAGGTGATCCATGTGCTAAATCTGGTGAGTTAGAGGGCGATACCGTGTGCATTCTAGACCTGAAATAGTGGCCGGAGTTAACACATCTTTCTCTAAGTTAACTGGCCAAATCTGTGGCCCTTTTTTGGGAGATCTCTTTCGATCGATGACCAAACAGATTTTTCACTGAACGTTCTTTGGATATCTCTTTTTGGACGGCGGATTGGCAAGCATGAAATGACTGTTCCTGAGTCTTTTGATTCCGGCCAAACAAAGGGAAGTAGAGCTCGATTTTTGTACTCATTAGTTTCTATGTTTTTCATATGCTTGCGTTGTTTAGTTTATGCTATGAGTTGTATTTTAAGCTGAAGAGATTTTCCCAACATTAAGTTTAACAAAAAGAAAAAAAGCAAAAGTTTAGACACAGAAGAAAATGTACACTTTCTATGCAACTTTCAACAATATCTGTATTGAGCTTACAACATCGGCAATTTCAAAATAAAAGCTTATTGGTCAAAGCTGAAACCTCCAGAACATATACATAACACTTCTTGCCAACGTTAAACATATCGAACCACTAATAACAATTAACTGAAAGTTCGACATGACCGGGAAAAAGGTGAAAAAACAAAGCAACATTTAACTGCATAGATTTGGTATGCACACTCCATCTGGATTCTGCTGTTCCTTCCATATTCGTCCTGTTACACGAAGCTTAAGCTCTTTCCTATCTCCTCCCGAGAAAAAAAGTGCCATATTACGCTGTACAATGAGACCGTCATGGCTGTCCCGAACTTTTCTGTGACTATCCCGAATGCTCCGTGGGGTGCCTTCCCAGATAAGTTTCCGGCCATTCCCCCCAACCTCCAAGCTATAACTGTAGTTTCGAGCCTCCACTTCGTCTCCCATGAATCGAAGAAATGCCATATAAACAGGAGCAGTACCAAGTTGAAAAGCTTCAAAATGAAGACAGAAATACTGGCCAAAACAATGGAAAACCTGAAAAAAATGATGGGCAAAGCCTTCAGCAGTTACAACCCACGAGGACAACAATTGTGTACATACTCAATGTTCCAACGGGAAAACAAGAAAATAATCAAGAAAGTTTGGCATGGATGTGCTGGGTTCAAGATTAACATTGATGTCGCAATGGAATGAGTTCTATTAGATAATTAAGCCAAGCATTTCCAAGTTATGAGCGTGGGCATGAGTGTGGGCGTTGGCGTGATTGGCTATGAACAAATTACAAATATTATTATTTTGTTCTGAATGGAGTTGCAACACGGTAAGTTAGAAAAGGGAGTGACCAAAATTAACATGGTTTCATGATCTCGTCACATTAGATCTCCGAATAGATCAAGCAATGCACTGAGCGGGTAATGGCAAGACGGATTTATGTAGACAACCCTAAAGTCATTGGGAATAATTGTCTCACTGGAGTTGCAGCACAACTCTAGATATAATCACACAGCAAGTTGTTTGGTGAACCCCCTTAAATCCTGTTGCTATGAACCATTGAAGAGCCTAATGAGTCTAATGGGCAATAAATCCTTGAAGGCCCATTATATATTATATGTAGCACCATTTCAGCAACAAAGATGAGATAAATCCAAACTAATGAGAAGGAAAAGAGTATCCTTACAGTCAGCATCCACGTAGCGTTATCCACATCTTGAGGATTTGATTTAACATAGCGGTGATTGAATGTGCAACCGGAGTGCATATCTACCTTGTGATCATCTCTCAAATGGGAGACCAGGTATGGTATATCCCCGACTACTGAGCACTCCGAGCCAGCATATGGGCAATTGTAAGGCCTAAAATTACAAACCACCTCATGCTTCAACTTACTGTAGTACGGAAAGATCTGTGGGCATCCGAGGGAGAAATACTTGCAAGGAAGTTCAAGTGATTCGGCAACTTTTTCAAGCGCTAAACATCGAATGTCACCAAGTTCTTGTCTACAAGTGGGACATTGATTGTGAACTCTTACTTTACAGGTGGAACAGAGAGTGTGACCATTATGGCACTGCAGTAAAAAGATACAATCTGAATTTATCGAGCACTAAAAAGCAATCAATATTGTCAACAATCATCAAAACAAAACACAAAAATATGTATAAATACACTTGCACGCCATTGTGAGTGCATTTGATAGTGTTGTTCTGCTTAGTAGATTGTACCAGCCTCTTTTGACAATGTCATGTCAAGAAAGCTCATAAAATACATTTTGTTTCACTTAAAAAGAAGTGCAAAAGACGATAACAACAAAAAAGACAGGTTCAAGGTATTGATATTAAGAGGAGCTGCATGATTCAAGTTTTAGGTCGCAGAATATGTCTACACATATATTATCTGTGTTCGCATGTTTTTCTATGACTTGAAGTAAAGCCCATTTTACAGTAAAAAAATGTCTCAGAGCTTATACCAGAGACACGAGAGTTGATATCTTAGAGACCCTTGATGAATAGGTGAGCCAATATTTCATGACAATGGCATCCAGATGAACATGCACTTCGGACTGCTAATTCATAAAGTGAAAGGAATATGCCTAAATTCATTTTAGCTAAGATAACATGGAAAACTTTCTTCCAAGAAAAACAAGGTAGCACAACAACAATGATTGAATGAGACAGGTGATGGCAAAAGTGCAAAAGCTCTTTGTGCATCCGGGATACATGTTACACTACGATTTTGAATCAGAACACAACTATCAATAACCGAGCCGGATCTAATGTATCATAAGGGATTTGTCTTTTCTTTGATCAAGAACAAATTGATAAGAAAATAGCAAAAGCAGGCAATTTGCAAAGGAAGGAAAGTTGATTATGGCCCACTTAGTGATCACTATGTTTTCAAACCTGGACCAGGCTTCAAATTGGAAACGGTAAAGGGTCAAGGTTTGACGGGGTCGAACTGGAGGCTAAGAAATAAATAATTAGATTATAAAATTCAATTTTCATCACTGCTCGATTAAATTTTCACATCAACAATATCAAAATCAATTCAAAGAAGGAAAAAAAATACTACAATTCTTCGCCTCTTTGATATTTGAGCATTGCTTTCTCAATATAGTCAAATATGCTCATTCTAAAAACAAAAAATACCCACATACAACACACACTCTCTAAAAATGTAAAGTACCCAACACCGCTCTTTATTTCTCTATCATTGGAAGAGCTAAACAGGAAAAATAAAAGGGAAACTGAAACAGCACCACAAGCCAATCTGCAATGCCCTTATTCCATTTCTTCACCATTCACCTCCACCTCTCCTTTTTATAGTTGGACAGCTTCTTGAAGGAAGGAGTTAAAGTCTCTTAGGTGTCGGCATCACACATATAGCAAGACAATGATTGAATTGGATTCGATTGAATGGTACCAACGAAATCGAGTTAGCACACCCCTAGGGATAACAGATTGATCTTCCCCAAGATCTCACATTGATAGGAAGGTTTGGCACCTCGATGTCGGCTTTTCGCAGACAGGGGGCGCATGGTACTTCTCGAACCGTTTTTCGTTGTTCTATAATACGTACCAATCCGCCCTTTCTTTTTAACCTTTTTGTTTTCGCACAGGCACATACTCACAAGGTGCATGCCGAGGAAGATAATAAAGCTCTCGAAAAACTAGCTTATGAAGATGGGTGAAGACTGAAGATGAAGAAGATTATTCAATGAATTTCCTTCTTTTAGAAACTGAATCGTAAAAACCGTGTCTGTGCAGCCGGTTCACCAACTTTTTTTCCAGTTTCTTTCTAAACGGTTTTAGCCATGTAATCCAACCAGTTCTTGGTTTCCAGGCCGAACTGGCCCATCTGGTGCGTTTTTGAATACATAGGCTAATCATTCAATACGCATCAAATTAATAAGAAGGATTAGAAAGCACAAGGTAATTACCTTGAAGTATGAAAGCAACAGTTACAGATCTAAGGCAGTCACTTTAGTTTCAATAAAAGAATAGTTGGGCATTTAATGGTTGAGGGGAAAAATCATGGCATGAACAAGAAGATGCCTATTTCATCTTCTTTCTTTACTCTGCATTCCAGGTGTCATATCACCATGGCTAGAAAGGCAATTTTTGAGCACCAGAAGCCCAAGAAGAAGTGGAAAACTATGAGCTAAACCCCTTATTTGCAAATTGACTTCACAAAGACCTTTTGTTACAGCATCGAACATATTTTTTTTTTCTAAAACCAGGGGTAGAGGTATAAAACAGCATTGACTAAGTTAAAATTCTGCATCCTAAAAGCACATTTTTAGTCAATGACAGCCAGAATCCAAAATTCCAACAGAGGTTCTTTTACTGTACTATAATAATATATGTCCAATTTTTACCAAAAAGCTTCATTTCTGCATTCAATTCAACCTACATCAGATCGTCACCATTTCAGTCGAAAAAATAACAGATGAAGACAGATAACAAAAGCTCACAACTTCAGTATAAAGTATAAGATACTCATTTCTTGATATCAAATAAATGATGAAAGAATTTAATGATTTCATAAGGAATTTGGACAACTAGTGCTTTTTCAGATCCATATCATGCATGGCTCTTTTGGCCTATGGCACAGATAATGCCGACTGGCATATCTATAATGACCATTTAAACATTAACTTCTTCAACAACTTTAATGCTAGCCCAGGCTTGATGCTCCTTTAACTATCTCTTCCAATCTCAGTAATCCACATATGAGATATGGTCTATTTTTCTGTTATATTCTTTCCAAACTCCCAAGTCATGAAATGCTCCCAAGTTTCCTATATACATTTATCACTGATCGGTTTAATGGTATTCACCTTACATCAGATGAAAGTCTGGGAGAGAGATTTAAGATACCAATTCAGATACTAGTTTTTCAGCAGCATGAACATGATACAAGACAACTTTTTTGAAATTGATAGCAATATAGCTTATCTGAAAAATAAAAGGCTATTTATCCATTATCCTAACACGCTCTTCTACAGACCGAATTTGCTGCATCAGCATCAACTGTATGCAATAAATAAAATGGGGGAAACCCCGAAAACCCCTTTTTTTCAATTCCTAATAAAATTCAGCAATTTCCAAAACCTGGAACCCAAATTCCAATCAATACACGGGTCTACATATTATATAGTATTGCTAAGATCAAACAGAAAAAGATACAATCTATGTTAAGGATCCCATGAAATATATGGTTAAAATTAATTGATGATTTTAACTTAAATTCAAATTCAAATTCAAATTCCTACAAAACATGGGCTAAATAAATATTAATCAACAAAATTTATTTTCTTTTACAAAAAAGACGGGTGGATCTTATGGATTTAGTTTTGTTGATTTTTTATGTAGTAATAAAGAATTAAGGTTGTCAACAGTGAATGAAACCACATTTTTAGAGCCTAATCAACCCACCATACGGATTCTAACATCGATTAACACATCAAGATAGCTATGGATAACCCAAGTTTCTTCAAAATGAACCAAAATAACAAGAAAATATAGAATCTTGAATGAAATCAACACAGACCAATTAATCAAAATTGGAAAAATAAAGACAGAGAAAAAAAGGGCAAACCTGGTGGATAGGAGGGTACATAGAATTGGTACAAACAGGGCATTCAAGAAGCTCATGGACACTAGAGCCTGGATGAATCACCACACTGTTGAGATTATTAATGCTAGATGGCTTGGGAGAAGAAAACTGAGAGTTAGTACGGGGGTGGGGAACCTGATCCTCATCAATCCCTTCAGTGGATGATATGCATTCAATTCGAGACTCCATTCTTGCAGATCCTTTTTCTATTTTTCTTGGACAAATTTGTAGATCAAATATTGTACATTACAAGTAGTTTTTGAAGTGGGTATATGGATTTTCTTGATGCGTATTTCTCAGTCATGGTTTCGAATCGGTTATCAGTAAAATCTGGAGAGAGAGAGAGAGAGAGAGAGAGAGGATACTTCCCTTGAGAGGGCTACCCTTTTACCATTTTTCTTTTTTTTTTTCTTTTTTTTTAAGTGAGAGAATCTGAAGGGGTTGTTAGATTATGCCCGGGTTTAGGCCCGAGTTTACGGGGGATTTTCCAAAATAGCCGGGTCAAATGACCCATTTGAATTTTTTGTAAAAAAGTCAATTTT